CTGGAGCTCTGTTATCAAGGGGAATAAAAAGTCAACTTTCACTATTGGTTCACATTCATCAGAATGATAATTTCTCAGGCTAAAATTCACCGTAAAAGGACCCTTGTGAACTCTGTTTGGTGAGATAGGAAGATTTCTTAACAGAGACAGAAGCTTATAAGGACGAAGTAAAAACCTTACCTCCTAACTCAATCTTCTGAGCCCTTTAGCTTCCGCCTTTGAGGGGCGGTGTTGCCAACCCCTTAGTTAAATAAAGCTACACTGTGAAGAGTAGATAGTGCCTGTGTCTGAGGTCAGGTCACAGCCTAACGCTTTTTCCAGACAGCCACAAGACTATGTTCTTTCTGGGCAGTATGAAGATTTGCCAAGGGAAAAAGAAAACTGGTAGAAAGAGGGCCGAGACTGTGATGGGGGAATCAAGCTCATTTCCTTGGATGTCAACACAGAACTCCATTAAAGTCTGGTGATGTTAGCTATGCTTCTGGCACCGAGGTCGACATGGAGGGGAGAGAATACATTTTCTGTTTCATTTCCTTCATTTTCTCATGGTCGCCTCCAAGTGCCCTTGGCTGTCCTGCCGCATTTTCTGCGCTCCTCCCTGAAGTGTTCAGGATTTCTTTCCACACTGCGTAGGTGTGTTCTTCCCCATGGAGAGGCCTCCCTCATTTCCCACTGCCAAACTCTTCCTAAAAGGGATATTTTGTCCTGAAAAGAATTTGGGTATAATATTTATTGCCAGGCTGACTTAAATTCATGGGAAAAAAGGGCAAGTGACTACAAATAGTAAAAGAACCTATTATGAGAATTCTATTCTGATTTAAAATGGAAATGGATCTCAAGGCTAAAGAATTTACTATATTTGTGTTATAAATATAATACCTTGGAATTTAAAATATGTCCATTCCTAAGAATTCTAATTTCTTAAGTTTATTGTCTAATTTTGTCCCATAGCTTCTCAGTTCATAGTGGAAGATGATGCATGGATGTGACTTTTACTGTATCCCTTAATTTTAGCAGAGATGCATCAGATGTTAAGTCCAATTTATGTACCAGTGTCTCTTAAGTTTATTGGGTGCAAATGCAGTTGCTTGAGAATGGACGGTACCATGTAATGTTATGTAATTATGTAATTATGATTTAGGGTAGCACCGCACAACCTGAAAAGTCAGTCAGTTTTATGTTATCTTTAACCCCATCCTCTCCAACCGTGGTCAGGATCTAATCCTCAAAATAATTCACATTTCAGCACCCCAAAAGGGCTGAAAAAAATGAATCTGTGCTCTAGTTCTCATCCAAAGTGCTTGAAAGCCCAAGCACAACCTCTAAAGTTTTTTCTTCCAATGACTATGACTTGTATAAAAAGTACTGAGTGTTACAGAAGAATAAGAGATTATGAATCGGAGCGACATGTAGAAAATGTTGCCTTCTACTCTCAACTAAAAGAAAATCATTTGCTCAGTGTGAGGCCCTATAGTGAGTAGTACCTGGATTATTGCCCAGGAGCAAGTCCTTAATTAACGTTTATAATCTTTCACAGGGCCAATACATGATTCTGTTAAAAAAATTATTTAAGAAAATAAAGTAAGGGTGGTGCCTGTGGCTCAGTGAGTAGGGCGCCAGCCCCATACTGGGGGTGGTGGGTTCAAACCTGGCCCTGGCCAAACTGCAACAACAAAAAAATCACCGGGTGTTGTGGTGGGCGCCTGTAGTCCCAGCTACTTGGGAGGCTGAGGCAAGAGAATCGCCTAAGCCCAGGAGCTGGAGGTTGCTGTGAGCTGTGTGATGCCACAGCACTCTACCAAGGTCAATAACGTGAGACTCTGTCAGAAGGAAAAGAAAAAAAAGAGAGAGAGAGAGACAGAAAAAAAAGAAAGAAAAAGGAAAAATAAGGAAAGAAAGGACGGAAAGAAAGAAAGGAAAGAACAGAAGAAGGAAAGGAAAGAAAAAAAGAAAGGAAGGAAGGAAGGGAAAGGAAGGAGGGAAGGAGGGATGGAGGGAGGGAGGGAGGAAAGAAGGAAGGAAGGAAGGGAAGAAGGGAGGGAGGGAGGAAAGGAAGGAAGGAAGGAAGGAAGGAAGGAAAACAAAGTAACCTACATTTCTAACTATGTAACAAAAATACCTCCCAGAACAAATTCTGGACATTCTGACCGATAAGGGAAATTGAGTAGACCTGAGGCAGTGGGCTGCCTCCTGTGGCGCCGCAGTCTCCTTCATCTGCAGCCTCTGGTGACCTCACCTCGGGTTTCCTTCCCTCCACTCCACTGCATAACTGTTACTACCTCTTCAAAACCTAATAGGAACTGGTAACCAACTCAAGTTATTTATATGCTTTTGCTTGATGACACTACTGGTGGTACAAAGTGTATCTGCTTATTAAAGTTAGTCAATAATCCAAGCCCTAGGTCCTTTTAAAAGCCCTCTCGTAAGTGGATGCATTGTTTAGGATAGTATATCGCTAGGGCACTTCCTCAGCAACTTGTGTGATTTTCAGAAGCTTTTGCCTTAAATGTATTTCACTGTATTCCTGTTGTCCCTTAATTTGTGTATTATGCCCTTTGATTTTCAACCTACTTCTATTTCTAAACACATTTAACACATTAGAGCGTACATGTGAGCGTTCAGTTATATAGAACAGATGATCGATTGTGGTGACTGTGCATTCAGGCAATAAATATCGATCAAGTTCCTGCATAACTCCGAGCATCATTCCTGCAGTGGTCAACGTAGCCTTGACTGGACAAATATACCTATTCTCTTGGCTGGTATTATGTACTAGGAGCAGACACTGGAGCAAGTGAATGAATGAGGAAATGAGGAATACAAGAGTGTCAGGTACTGATGAGCCCTATGAGGAAAGTGAGTACATGAAAGGGAGTGATAGAGGCTAAAATTAAAGAAGAAAAACCAAAAGACTTAACAGATGGTGATGGCCTCTCTGAGGAGTTAACAGTTGGGCTGAGACCTGAGTGATAGGTAGGAACCTGTCACGGAAAGATCTAGAAGAAAAGTGTGCAGGTGGCGTCGGGTAGCAGTGAGCTTGCTGGGCTGAGAAAGAGAAGAAGGGCGAGTGTGTCTGGAGGGTCGTGATGAGGAGGACGTCTATTCAGAACATCTGGAGTGTGAGTGGCTGCTATAGGGGGATTTAGCCACGTGAGGTGTCCTGTGAACACCTGCAGTCCCCAAGCCCTGGGCCACGGACAAGTCCTGGTAGTCCCTGGCCGGTTAGGAGCAGCCTGAACAGCAGGAGGTGAGCGGCAGGCGATGGAGCTTTGATTTCCAGCTGCTCCCTGTCCCTCCCATCACCACCTGAGCTCCACCCCCTGTCAGGTCAGCGGTGGCCTTAGATTATCATCCGAGCATGGTGAACCCTGCTAAAAACTACATGAGCGAGGGCCCTAGGCTGCTGGCTTCCTGTGAGAAGCTAATCCTGACGGCCTGAGGTGTATGTAACGCACTTGGATCATGCCCAAACCATCCCCCTCACCCTGTGGACAAATTGTTTCTCATGAAACCGTTCCGTGGTGCCAGAGAGGCTGCGTCTGCTGCCCTCAGCAATACGGGTTTGAGTCCTGGTGATGTTCAGGAGAGAAGGGAACGGGACCACTGTAAAATACTAGTATATGGTGCTGATCTCTCCCAAGTGTTACCACCCACCGAGACAGTGTAGCCATAGAAGAGATGGAAACCTGGAACTGAGTCACAGATGTGTCAAACTATGAAGGGTAAACCAGGCCAGGTGTGGTGGCTCACATCCCAGCACTCTGGAGATGAGGAGGAGGATTGCTTGAGCCGAGCCACTATCATGCCACTGCACTCCAGCCTGGATGAGAGAGGGGCCCTGTCTCTTAAAAAGGAAGAAGAAGGATAAACAGAAACATTGACTAACACCAAAAAGCCAAGAAAGAATCCCCTGAAATTAGGAAGAAAACTGGGGGAAATGGCCTATCGCACGGGAGTTTGTGTTGAATGCTGCTGCGAGGTCTGATAAAACACCAGTGAAACCTCAGCAGTGTGAGAGTCACCACGTTCCCATGGGACAGGCACAGGGGGCAGACAGGGATAGGAGCCCGTTTGGAGTGAGCTGGGAAGAGAAAGTATGAGAACACGCGAGGACAGCGAAAGTGAAGCATTTCAGGGTGTTTCAATGGGAAAGGAAAGGAAGAAACGGGAAGCAGATTTGAGGTGAAGGGAGGAATTTTTTTTTTTTTTAAGTTACTAGAACATGCTTCTGAGGTAGTAGGGAATCATGGAAGAGAGAGGATGGGAAAAGACATGATAAGGTCACGAGAAGAGGGTTTAAATGCAGGAGCCAACTCCCTGAGAAGTTCAAAGGCATTAGTTTCCAAAGCGTAAGTGACACTGTTAGTTTTTGATAGAAATAGGGAATGAGTGTAAATATGAAGATTATTTTCTATTATGGAGACATTTCTGGGCTAAAATGTTGAGAATCCTAAGCCAAGTGACTTTGCTCACTTGGGGCTATGTTTAATCTACAAAAATACCACTTTTCTACAGCCCACTGTACTATACTGTGAATATAACTGTAATATGTAGTGAACGTATGTAACACAGTTCAGCATACACAAACTGAAACATGAGGAGCTTATGGATGTTTTGAGTTTTCTCTTTGTTCTGAATCACATGGAAATTTCAAATACAATTTTAAGATAAATATAAGGGAAATATTTCATACTTCTTAAATTGATGTTGTTTATGTCAGCATGGATTTTAGGTTAAGTCATAATCTATGCTGAACAGAGCAGGCAAAGACAGAATCAGATCGGTGTGGTGTTTCTAGTTATATATGAGCCTTTGTGTTCTGTCTAAAAGGATTAAAATGTTGTTGACTACATTTTGCAAGACTCCATCCTTTCCTTTAAATCTTTGTTACTTTCAAAGCGTAAATGACTTAGGTGTAAAAAAATGTAAAATTAAAATGAGTCCATGTATTTTTAAAGTGCATTAGGTGAGTTAACTATTTGTATTTTATTTTATTGCAGGTTTATTTATATTTATTTTTCACTGTGCCATGAAGGAGAATGTTCAGAAACAGTGGAGGCGCCACCTGTGCTGTGGCAGATTTCGGTTAGCCGACAACTCAGGTAAAGGGGAATCATGCTGATTGGATGGAACCCGTGAAAGTAGTTGGAAATGTTTGTCATTCACTTGCCCATTGTCAGAACAAACCAGTCCCAAAGGCAGCAGGTTGCAAAAGTGAAGCATGTGAAGAGATCCTTAGCTGGAATCTTAGCATATTAAAGCTAGAAGAGATTGGAGAACATTGGACCCAAACCCTTCTGTTCTGCAGAGGATAAGCATGAATTCTAGGCAGGTTGCCTAAGGATTGAAGTCTAATTTAACAACCTGGATATTCATAGGTTCCGCTATTCCAGACTGACTTTTCTATGTTTTTGAGATCCTTAGTTACATTATTATGCAAAGAGATTTTTCTCACTGCAAAAAAATTTAACAATATTTGAAAAAAAGATTACTTTTCCTTTTTTTCCTGTCTCTTCCCCTTTCCTATCTCTTCTCTCCTTCTCTCCTTCCTTTTCCTTTACCTTCTTTCCTCCCTCCTTCCCTTCATTCCTCCTTCCCTTTCTTCTTTTCTTTCCTTTCTTTTCTTAACCATCAGTGGTTATCTCCTCACCCTTAGGATATTTAGGGAGTGGGATTTTAAGCATTATGTATACAAGGTCAAAGTAAGAAAATTTTTTTTTTATTGTTGGGGACTCATTGAGGGTACAAAGAAGCAGGTTACATTGATTGCATTTGTCAGGTTAAGTCCCTCTTGTATTTGTATCTGGCCCCAAAAGATGTGTCACACACAGTGACCCCCACATCCCTCCTTCCTTCCCTCTCTCTGCTCTCTCCTTCCTCCACCCCCCACCATGTACTAGGGTCATTAATTGTCCTCATATTAGAATTGAGTACATTGGATTCTTGCTTCTCCATTCTTGTGATGCTTTACTAAGAACAATGTGTTCCACTTCCATCCAAGTTAATACAGAAAATGTAAAGTCTCCATCTTTTTTAATAGCTGAATAGTATTCCATGGTATACGTATACCACAGTTTGTTAATCCATTCCTGGGGTAGGCATTTAAGTTTTGGTGATTGTAAATTGAGCTGCAATAGATTCTAGTGCAAGTGTCCTTATGCTAAAAGGATTTTTTTTTCTTCTGGGTAGGATCAAATGGTGGGGGGGGGTCTAACTTGAGTTCTTTGAGGATTTTCCATACTCCCTTCTAAAAAAGGTTGTATTAGTTTGCAGTCCCTCCAGCAGTGTAAAAGTGTTTCCTTCTTTCCACATCCATGCCAGCATCAAAGTTAGAAATTTTCATGTGCCTTTGGTTTATTATTGTTTAGATGTCAGTCTCTTCTCTGAACCACTGCCAGCATTTCAGGAAATCAGGTGCTCCAGATGAATGAAATAATGCAGTGATGATTTGTCAGGGCAGAGCATATTTCCCATAAAACAGATTGAGTCTTTCTTTCAGATTGGAGTAAAACAGCTACCAATATCATCAAGAAAAGTTCCGATAACCTAGGAAAATCTTTGTCTTCAAGCTCCATTGGTTCCAACTCAACCTATCTTACATCCAAATCTAAGTCCAGCTCTACCACCTATTCCAAAAGGAATAGCCACCCCGGTGAGTCGTTCTGGTCATGATAAAACTGTCCTCTAGTAGAGTGTTTATCACATTTCCATCACAAAAATTGACCTATCATGAAGAGTGACGCTGTGCCTGTTAGGGGCTTACTTAAGATTTATGAAAATAAAAAGCTGTTTGAAGACCTCACCCAACACTTTTATGAATATTTGTCTTTTTTACAATCATATATCCCCAAACTATATCTACATAACCATAATATTACTAACACTGAATATTATTGCAAATGAAGTGATTCAAAATTTAATTTTCTTTAATAATTAGGGCATTTTGTTTCAAAAAGCTATATTTTTATTTTAAAAATGTAAAAATTGAATTGCAGATTATTTCAGAAGAATATGTAAGTTACTTGACAGGTTGTCATGGAAACAGGAAGAAACACCATCTAGGATGTATATTTTATTTGAGACTTAATTCCTTCACCCTTGGAAGTGTTATTGGCACTTGATCTGTTAATATGAAAGATTCAAATCACTGATTAAATATGAAAGAATAGAGATCATAGTATTTGGAAAGTGATATAGGACTGTCTTTGTTCATATTCTATTTTTTCATGATATTTACAGTGACCACATGTTCTGTCACTGAGCATGTATATGAACAATCCTGAGGACAACATGGAAATACAGAATAGTTTAAGTGGTATATGCCATGGGAGGCTACAGTGGGAGAAACCCTGAGGCCACAAGTTCAAGGCTGCTGTGAGCTATGATCCTGGAAATAGCCGTGACACTTCACCTTGAGCAAACATAGTGAAGACCTTGTCTCAAAAAAAGAAAAAAAAAGAAAAGAAAGAATATTTTGCAGTACTTGATAATCAATGAGTGATGTGATGTGAGAAGGTGTACCTTTTGATAATGTCAATGGGAAATAATAGAACTGTGACTTTCAAATACCATTATTAATTAATCCCCTGACAGACAGCTTTCACACTCAGCACAACAGCACTTTCCTAATTAAAGATGATTCTAAAAGGATAATAGAAATAGCGTCTTAATTTTTACTTTGTTTAGCTATTAAACATGAGTAGAAGTAAATAACACAGAGAAGGTTAATACTTCGCTTTTTGCAATAGAGAGTAAATTATGTGATGTGTCTGTAATTGTTCATACTGCAAACTCTTGAATTGCAAATGACTCTTATGTACATTTGAATCCTACTCATGTCCCTGCTTGCACCACTGGAATGGCCACTGCCTGGGATTCATGACAGTACTGTGGCAACAAGTTAGAGGGTTTAGTGAGTTTGATGATTCCAAAATAAAGATATCTAAGAACTCAGAGAAATTTAGGACAGCAATTCTTAAAGCTTCTTGGACTCAAGGAAGTTTCGGGGGGGCGGAATCCAAAGCTGTGGATTCTCTTCCAGAGCAAGGTGCAGACTTTAAGATATCCACACCATTTTGACTAAAATTAACTGGTCTGTGCACACCTGCTCACCTCCGGAGAATACCGGAGTAAGGAAAATGATGAGAAACGTGTAGTCTAAGATAGGTTCTTCTACCTAGTTGGTGGTTCCTTGGAACAAAATATCTTTTAATTGTAATGGATTATTGTATCAGATTATTTAACCAGACTTAAATTTAGATACTCGTTTTGCCTTCCCTTCTAAAATGCAAATAATAAATGTGTTATCAGTCACTTGTGAATGAATAGGAACTAGCCCAATGGAATTGCTCTCCTCTCCACACAGCTGAGAATAAGCTAATGGAAAGACCTGCCCCTCTTAGGGGCATTTCAGAAATACTAAGGAAAGAAAGGGCTGTAGGAGCCTGAGGGGCAACTGACTGGAAATAAGAGAGGACATGCAGAATTGGAGGTACCAAAGGCAGACTTTACTGTTTTAAAATGTCTTGTTTTTATAAGGCATGCATTAATATTTTCTGTTTTTCTTAATTTAAAAAAGCCCTTGGGACTAAATGAGTTTTTGTCAACCATCAAGAGAATGTATTCATTATATAGCATTACTTGCACAGTATAATAAATTCTGGATTCCAATCAACTGACTTCAAATAGCTTTTTGTCCATTCAGCCAGTTCTCAGTGGGACTACTGGTATACTGGGGATCATGCAGGGTATGCAGAAAGTCACTACGTATCATCATGACTATCTAGTTGGTTTATTTCTTGGAATTGATCTAGACATTCATATGTTTATGGTATAGATAATGTCTCCTAAGAGCATTCCTTCAACAAAAGTGGATCATTCAGGTAAACTTTTATTACTTTTTCATAATGCATGAATTTTTGTGCAAGGTAGTAAGAGACTATATATGCATATGCATGGATTAAGCTAAGATTCTTGCCGCACCAGCAAAATGGCTTATTCTTTGCAAACTGTTCCACTAGCATGATGACATTCCTGCGTGGAGCTGGAATTTCTGAAATTTGGAATGATAGTGTGCTGTGCTGGCGCTTCTCTGCATGGGGTGTCTGCAAGCCACTCCTTCTAGGAAATGTACCATGGTCTAGAGTGAGTGGGTCGTGTAGCATGTGAAGTCGTGACAAAAAGCAGCCCTCAAGAGGAGAGTTGTTATAGAAGGGACGGTAAATCCTTTACTTTCCATTGCTCTTATGGATCACTGGATGTGTCATGGTACATTCATAGAAGTATGTACATGAAATTGTCAATTCCAAGCCTGCTTTGTAAAGATTTTTACCTGCTTGAAATTTCAGCATAGGTCAGATAATAGTTCATTTCCCTAGCCCCTGGTTTTCAGATTTGAAGCTATAATCAAAATCTGTGTTACCCATAATGTAATATCTAACCAGAAGACTGTGATTTTATGTATATATATACACATACACACACATAGATATATTCAAGTACAATCTTCGTTGAGAATTTTACTTAATTATACTGTGAAGACCCATCAGATTGGATCACATCTTTGGACTGGAACTGATCAGAATCTCTGCAAAGTACATGTCCTTGGAAATTACCAAGGAAGCCGGGTGAATATATCCTTGACATTTCTCTGAACGTGTGTGTTCTTCTAAAAGTATCAAGCACAAGTATTATTCACGATGGATATTTGTGTCAAAGCATAATCCCCACCAGAAAACCAATGGCTAGTGAATATATGGACTAAGAGGAAGCACAGAATCAGCTTGCTGAGGGCTGAAGGGGGTGGGGGTTTTAAGTTACAACTCCTTGAGCTTTTTCTCACCAATATTGGGATGCTTTAGTGACGCTACCATGCTTCAGTCTGCCCATTTGCTCCTTGAACCATCTAGTCTTTCTTACGGCCTATAATTTTCCCATTTCAGCATTCATTTGATTGCTCCAACGCAAGACCACAGTTGTGCAATTTGAATAGTTTCCAAAGACAACAGATAGCATGATGGTGGCTTTTACCCTTTATTGATGGATTTTACATCTCACTCACATACTGGGTCCATCCTACTCAACTAGAGAAAGCTTGGAGTGAACATTCTGATTTCAGCACCCAGATTTTTTTTTTTTTTTTTTTTTGGCTGGGGCTGGGTTTGAATCCGCCACCTCCGGCATATGAGGCCAGTGCCCTACCCTTTTGAGCCACAGGTGCCGCCCAGTACCCAGGTTTTTAGAAGTAGTTTTTCAGGGTAGACTTTTTGTCTCTTCCACAGTGTACAGAGAAAATATGGCTGTAGGGAACTGAATACTTCGTAAAAGTTCATATTTTTGCCATCAGTATAAAATCTCTATAACTGGGTTAATTTGAGGATAGAATTGTTACCCAAAATGTATTGGGAAACGGAGGTACTTATGAGATATTCATAGGATACGTGAAGACAACCATATGTGTTTGTAGATAATGGAGCTTCACAGTACTGTCTGAGCCAATTTTAGAAAGTTTTTAGGTCTAGGAAAATAATATTTAAATACACAATATTGAAAAATTCAGAACAGAAATTTATCTAGCAGTTCTGTATTATTATTAATTGCTTTGATACTACTTCTGTCAGCAATGACATTACTCCAAAACTCTAGCATAATTAACAAAAACCTAATTTTATTAAGGTATTCTGATAAGAGACTTGATTTCTATAATTAAAAGAATAATTCATAAAGGACACTTTTTTTCCCTGTATTCCAACCATTTAACAAACCAAAAACCACAGGAAAATGTATTCAAAGTACCTTTGTGTTAACTTTCATTTACTTTTATTCTCCAAAACCACTTAATTTTATAAAAATTATTATTGTGAAAAATATCAAACATATATGAAAGTAAAAGATAACTATGCTCCTGTCCCCATCAACTCTTAGCGAGTTACAGACCCCTACCCATTTTTCCCTCCCTATTTCATTTGGCAAACATATCTCAGCGATCACTTCTTACATAAATCTTTCAGCGCATTTCAATTCCTTTAGTACATAATCTGGTACTTCTTCTAAGCCATTTGGTGCATATATTTCCGAAGTGGTTTTCTGAATATTTTATTCACTGGCTTTTTGACAAATGCCATGTCCAAGAATATTTCTTATAATAAATCATAGTACAGATTACTAGAAGGAAAATGGACATTTGGTGACCTAATGGGAATGAACTTGGAAGATGAAAACATGGAATTTTTGTGCTGCCTATTACCTAATCGAATGAAGAAATCGAGCTCCCTATTCTTTGTGCACTTCATGAATGGGCAAAGCAGCTCACAGTGTGGTGGTCCTTAGGCACGGCACCTGCTCCTCGTGCAGCCTAATCTCTTGTTGTTATTTCTTGCAGACAGCGCTTCCACGGACAAGTCTTTGTCAAAACACGCTGATGGAGAACAAACATCGATCATCCCTGTCCATCAGGTCATTGACAAGGTCAAGGGTTACTGCAATGCTCATTCCGATAACTTCTATAAAAATATTATTATGTCAGACGCCTTCAGCCACAGCACAAAGTTTTAAAGTCTTGAATGTAAGAAGAGGAATCCGCCTGCAGAAACGTGAAGATCAGCAAGCTGTGAAAACTACAACTTGCAGATGTGAATGTGCTATTACCTAGGTAACTGCATGAGGGAGGAATGTATTTTGTGAAATTCAAAATCTATCTTTTCAGTATATTTCTTCCATGGAGGAGTTTTCCCCCTCATTAAGATGTCAGTGCTAAGAGCAATATGACTCAGTGGCCACAAGAGACATGATTATTAAAAATACTGAATTAAATCAGACTAATCCGGACTCATGGGGAGACATTAAAAGTAACAGACAAGGGCGAGGCAAAGCTAAGAACCAACCCTAGTTGAAATCTCATTTATAGCCCACCAAACAGTCCTGGATGTGCCTACTTAGTGCATCATCTTTCTCCATAATAAGAAGCATACTATTACTTATAACTGTTCTTTATGCCCACAAGTTTCATCCAGGGCTATGAATGCAGTAACACTCTCTTTTTTTTGGATGAAATTTCAGCCCCAGATAGAAGAAAATGGTTCATGCTTGACCCAAAGCTTTAAAAAAAATTGTTTTCTTATATCAAATGTTTAAACTTTAGAACCATAGCATGCTTTAAAAAAGAAAGTTTTTTCAAATTTTGACCTACTTAATGTGAGGCTACGTCAATTTCTAATATTTTACTCATGTTATTCAAAGCCCAAGGTTAAATCATCATCATTATAATTTAATCCCATACATTTAAGTCAAGTTTAGTGTTGATGTGCCAGCAATTGTGGACTTCCTAGTAGTTGCTTAAGGCTGAGTCTGTTACTTCTCTGCTGAATATTGAGTCCACAGGCTCAGAGGAAGAAGAAAAACTTCCATTAGGCAAGCTGTGAGAAGTAGAATTTTCCTTTTAGAAGATACACCACTGAGACTATGTGAATCTGTCCTTGCTCTGGAGATTTTAAGACATTTCCAATCGTGCAAATGAAGTCCTCTTACTGCTCTTGTTGAGAGTTGTGGTCTGAGGAATATAATGTGAGACACGGGTGACTTGTGATAATCAGAATAATTTATAAATGTGTGGGTCAACAATTGCTAGTCTTAAAAACTACTTGTATATTAAGCCCTCAGATTTTAGTATACAAGAGCCTGCAGAAGTCTGACAAGATATGTATGATTTATGATCAGTCTCCTGCATAGAGCCCTACATAAAATTAAGCAGCTTACCTAAGTCTCACACTCCTAAGTGATGCCTGCTTGTTGGTGAATGTGTAGAAGACCAGGTTTCATTGTCCTCAGATGATGGCACCCTGTGGATTTTAACAGAAACTAATCCCAGTGCAGGCTGTGCTTTTACATTTGCTCTGGGCTATCTGGGAAGTATCAGGTTCTAGGAAGCTGCAGCGTAAGTGAGGAGAAAGTTGCTTAAGGACAGAGGCCAGAACCCAGCACCTGGAGGCCTTTCCTTCTGCACAAAAGGAAGGAGGTCATTCTCAGGCTGAGACCTGACACAGGAGAGGCTTTCCGGCTATGAAGCAGCCCAAGGGCCTCTCACCTTTGCAGAGAGCTTCAATCATGAAGCTGTTTGCCAGGATGAGAGAACAACAGGTTTTATTACCGTTCCATTTTGCAGCAGCCCAGAACACCATCCTGGCAGACATGAGCATTGCCCAGCCTGCCTTTCACCAGGGAGGCTTGCATTCAGCAGAAAAGGATAGTGAATCTTAAGGTCACTGAGATTCCCTATAGTAAAGCCAAAACCCTTTTCCATTTTGGCAGAGGTAGGATGTAGATGAAAGTTAATCTGAAATAGTCACTGAATATTCATATACTTTCTCCCCCAAACCTTAGCTATTCCTGGTAGATTTCAATTAGCTTTCTACTGTGAGATTTCTGTCCAAACTGCTTATTTAGTTAATAGTAATTAAGATAGAGCTTCAAAAATGGCTTTGCTTTTGATTTCTACTCATATTCATCCAGATCTAGACAAAAAAAATCCTTTTTTCCATATTAGACAACACTGTCAGCTCCATTTTAGAAATATTGAGTAAAAGGTAAGAAAACCAATGAAGGAATTGCAAATGGAATTGAAAGACTGAGCCCAATTCGACCTCCAGTTCCCAGCATGCAGTTCTCACCTTCACTGAACCCCCTCAGAGCAGAGGGGCAGGAATTCAGCTGGGAGACAACATTTGGTTAGCCTGTCTTTAAGAATATCCATTCAGACTCCGTTTCGGTTTTGTTTTTTCTTTTCATTCCCTTTTTTTACACTATATTATGTTGGAGGATCCTGAGCTAGTTTCTGTTCTTGTCACATTTATTTACATTGTAAAGATTTTCTTTGTCTGTTGTTGGTGTAGTGTCTTTTGTATATATTTATTTATTTGTGTTTATAAATGTCAAATTGTTTCATACCTTAGCTCGGTATCGCCTAGCTTCGTTTTAGTTAACTGCATTAGAGAGACTGTATATATTTTTTCTGAATACTTTGTGAAATAGCTTTCTGTAGCGATACCTTCGAATATGATGCATACAAGTGACTGTGAGTGCAAATTGGAATTAGTGGTAAGAGGCTACGATCACTGATTTGCCATTTTACTTACATGGAAAATGTTTTTTAAATAAATACTTACATTGTTCGTGTTCCAAATTATTTCCGATGTCTTTTTGAGTGAATGTTTTTATTTCTGACTCTTAAATAGGAAAAGATTATTTGACAACTGGAAACTAACCTGCCACCAATTAAGCCAGTGACATGGGGCTACTTTGCCAAAACCCTTGGAATGAATATATGACAGCGATCCAGTTCACTGGGGATTAATGCATTTTGAAGTTCTTAGAATTTCTTAGGATGACTAATGCAAAGCCAAATTCTGGTGGATTAAAAGTAATGCAGGTTTCATTTAGGGGAAATCTCAGTATCCCCAAAGGGAATCAACTCAGCACCATTTAGAATTTAGGACCTGGGATATTTTCCTCGCACTTATAGTTGCTATTTTCACTGTGGGAGGCTTAGCAAATGACACATTTTAACCAGCTTCACTTGCACAGATGAGAACAGAACCTCCCCACTTCCTTTCGCCCTGGTTATTTAGGATAAGTTTTTTTTTTTTTTTTTTTAAACAGAGAGCCCAATGTGGCTCATAGCCCTACTCAGCAAAGTGCACACCCAGTGCTAAATTGTGAGGCGCTTTGGCAGGTCTCTGCTAAAGCTGGTCTCCGGCTGCAGTCACCACTCCCAGCCAAGCCATGTTAAGAAAACAGACTCCCAGTTGACTGAGGCTCACCTGTGAGCAGGTTACTTCAGGGAGCCTGGGGAGGCAGCGTGGGGAGTACATGAGGAACACTTACTAATTTTCAGGCTGACTTCTGTGTCTAGTGTTTTTGAAATCTGCAGGAATTGGGCTTTGTAAATGCAGAGTTTTAGAAGCACTGCTGTGCTTTCAGTTGAAGGACATTCCACTTCTCTTATATAAATACACAAAATCCCCTTTCTCCCTACCGCCAGCCTTCCTTATTTGTCTCCCTTTTCCTTCCTTTCTTGCTTTTTCCTTCCCTTCTTTCCTCCTCTTTTCAAGGAAGAATAATTAGTGTAATAATTTGTTGTTGCTTCCCTAGAGAAAAGTAACAGTCTATGTGAAATTTTCAGACACTTCCATTTATATTCCATAGCTAATCGAAAAAGTAAAAAGAAAAAGAGTGGTTATCACAAGCAGCTCCAACCTAACCTGAATACTCTGAACCTTATTAAAAAAACAAAAACAAAACATAAAAACATTTGGGTGCCAGATTCTGATTGGCTAGTTCATGTAATTTTCACAATTCTATGAAATGTTGTATCTAACCTTCCATTTGGAGAAACAGGTGACTAAAGGTGGCAAGGCACCTGCCTGCGGCCACAGAGACAGTAAGGGCAGGATTCAAATTTCAGCCCAGCTGATTGTGTGTGCATTCTCCTACCCCAGCTTACCTGGCTGCCTCCTTCAAAGAGCCTACACCCTTTGAAGGAAGGTAATCCCAGGACAGGATAAATGCTGTGAGGTTCAGAAAAAAGCTCTGAACTAGCAAAACATCAGTGATTTGGCCTTTGAAGTTCTGATAGATTCTTATTGGCCTCTCCTGGGGGCAAAGAAAGTTATTCCAGACATGATGATTGGAAAGTCCAGGGCAGTGAGTGGAAAATAGTTGAGGTTGGTTTGATTGCAGGGTTTAGAGAGGGCTGCGGAGGGATGAGGCCATCCTATAGGGATGAAAGGAGAGGTTTTCCCTTCGCAGCAGGCATAAGAGAAGCCTGATGGCTTCCAGGCAGTGAAGAAACCCAGTCCTTAGTTGGGCTTTAGACTGTGGGATAATTAGAAGGGGGACTGGAGCTGGAGAGAATGGCCAGGACCCTCTTGGAGAAGCAGCAGGACAGCAAAGCAATCTGAGGACCTGCGTCTGGGGGTCTTGCTTCTCAGGGCAGTGGTGACGCTGCCACAGGCTTTCCAAGCAGCAGTGAGGCCATAAGTCACTGTTCAGAATAGCAGGGAGGTCTGGGATGTTTTCAGGCACCAAGGGATTAGAGGGGCCTATGAAAGAAGGTAAGACTTCAAGATAAGCCGCTGCTATGTCAAGAAATGTGGTGAGAGGGAGAAAAAGAAAGAGTGGGGAAAGTTGTTTAAAGAAGTGTAAATGTAAAGGAAAGGTGTCTCACAAAGTGTCGTTTGTTTTATGGCTGGAACACTATCATTGAAGGCAAAACAGAAGGCATCAGAAGAGAGTAGATGGTTGATACAGCTGGTCCCGCAGGTGGGAGAGAAGGGATGAGATAAACAAGTTGAAGCATCAGCCCTGGCAAGGAGAACAGCCTCTCTTCTCTAAGATGAGAAACACACTGTCAGATGAGACAAAGAGATGGAAAGGGGCAGGGATGAGGGAAAGCTTCAGTTTCCAGATTTTCTATCTGTAAAATAAAATCTCATTTCACCTGTTGGGAAGGTGGTATCAAGATGGGGACCTGAGTAAAAGTTAAGAGATTTGAAACATCCTTACAAGGAATGCAAATTCTTGGCTAAATTAGATTAAGTAAATGTTTGCCCTCAGAGTGGTTTTCCCAAGTATAGTCCCAAATCATACTGATACCGGACAGGTGGCACCCTAGCCAGCTCAGCCGAGGAGGGCTGGAGGACCTGCCGCCTCCGTCTTGGCGGTGTTGGTGGCGGCAGCAGAACTAGCAGGCTGGAGCATAGGCAAGTGGGGGGGAGCTTCCCTCCCCCAGTGGAGGCTCCAGTAGCCAAAGGAACTAGAAGCAGTGGGGGAAAGACACTGGCGATTCCTCCAGTGCATCCCTGATTGGTCTATTTTCAAAACCTGCTCCTGATTGGTCTGTTTTCAGGACCCAAAAACTCATTGGACAACTGCCCCTATATAAGCCCCTAAGCAGAGATCCCAAACACAGACCTCCACAGACCTCCTAGAGAGAGAGAGAGAGCAGAAGAATAAGAGCTGTAACACTTGTACTGCTGATCCTGCTCTGCAAAGAGGTTTGGCTCTTTGTGAAAGCTGTAACACTTGTATTACTGCTGGTCCTACTCTACAAGGAGGTTTGGTTCCTTGTAAGAGCTTTAACACTCGTATTAAAAAGCTATCTTACTGCTGATCCTACTCTACAAGGAGGTTTGGTTCCCTGTAAGAGCTGTAACATTTGTATTATAAGACCTATCTTACTGCTGATCCTGCTTCACAAGGAAGCTTGGTTCTTTGTAAGAGCTATAACACTTGTTAAGAACTATCCTGTTGTCCGTCACTTCATTCTTCTAACTGCCGAGACCAAGAGCCTGGAAATCCAATATCAAAAATCCAGTATCAATACCATTAAAATATTTTTATGGGCAGTGTTTTGAAAAATGAGTTTCTTTCATAGTCATAACTGAACACTTTTCTAAAGACTCAAACTTTATTGGTCAATGATGTATTTTAAAATACTTATAAATTAAAGAATTAAAATGATTTCTATACATTGAGACATCAATTAGAATAAAATATTTGATATAACCAATATTTTAATATTGATATTGATACTATCTGGTTCACACTGTTTGAGAAAATAAGAAAACAAAGAGTTTCAATACTCCATGAGGAAAACAAAGGTCTCTGAAACACTAGAGCATGTGCTGGCTTCACTGGCCCAAGGCTCCATCAAGTGTACCAAGTGGCTACATTTCTACCTGGATTCTTTGAGTCACAAAATAAAACAGAGTCCTCCTACAAGAAGTTGATAGAGCTGGCACATTTGACACTGTTTAAACTCAAAGAATAATTGGTTTATTCATAAAGATCTTAAATGGAATCAATGCTGGCCCATTACAGCTAATAACACCTGGAGTTAGTGGCTGAAATGGCTAAAGGACTTCATTGACACCTTACCTTGTGTTATTTTCTTCTTTCATGGGTGTGTGACTTTTCTACTGAATGATGTTGTTTTACTAAGGCCCACTGGGTTTTGTTTATAATTGTCATTTTCATAAGCAGTAGTGTACTGCTCAGCCACATTAACAGGTGCCTGGTTAACGCTTATTGGTTTCAATTTAAATTTGTAGCTTACCTGCTCCACTTGCATTTTAGAAAAGTAGGTGTCAACGTGCCTTGGGTTTTCACAGGTTTGCAAGAGCATAGACTAGAAATACAAAGCAAAGAGAAAGAAAACTGAAGCAGCATTATGCTATTCAAGACCCCTTACCTCGATTGCTATAGGTCATTTTATAGGATGGAGGCAAATGGGATAAGAACAAAAAGACATCTGTTTATATCAACTGTAAATCTTTTTCAGTGGTATCAAAAAAGGAACTGGGCTCAAGTCTGAGATTAGTAAATTTTCTAACCCGTGTTAGAGCAGTTATCTTGGGAACGGTCTTATGGCTCAAACTGGCTTCATGATTAGGAATTTAGTGTCAGAGCATGGAGGGTCCATGGAGCCTAGCGGCCAGGTATGCAGCCAGCCTGGGGATCCAGGACCAAGAGAGGATGGTCTTGATCATCAAGTAGCCATCGTCTTTAGGTGGCTATCTATATTTTTAAAAGATGATTTTTTGAAGCAGTTTTGTTTCACAGCAAAATTGAGAGGAAGGTACAGAAATTTCTCGTATACCTCCCTACCCCCACAAATTAACGCTGCCTTGATTTGTCAACCAAAGTGGAACATTTGTCCCAGTAAAACGAACCTGCTTTGGCACATCACTGTGACCCAGAGCCCACAGTTTGCATTAGAGTTCATCCCCTCTTGGTGCATGCTCAGTGGGTGTTGCTGTAAGTGTTTGGGCCGGAGTCACAGAGATGAGACTAGCAGTCAGAAAGTATTGAAGAGCAGGGTGGCTACAGCCCACTCAGGCATGTAGCAACCTCAGTTTATTCCTTCCAGGCTTATATGCCTTTACAATACTCAATTCTGCATGTACACACTCTAATCATAAACTACCTGGCATCAGATGGCTTTCTAATAGAATAATACAAAGGAACCATAAAACTTTTAACCTACTCTGCTGCAAAAAACCAATTGTTCATCTATAGAAAACAGGTGTAACCTTTAACTTAGCTGCGCATTAACTCACCTTGACTTTCCACTCCCCAGGCCCCTTCAGGGAAATTCCAAACCTTAATCAGGCTCTGCCTTCA